AATAATAATAATCATGAAATTAAAAAATCTCATCATACTTTTAACTTTCTCCGCAAGCTAAAAAGAAAAAAATAAAAGGAAACAACCCACTCATCACTATTCTTTTTCTATCAAAAAAAAAGAAAAAAACCCAAAAACAAGATTTTGACTTGATGGCAAAAAGAGATTTTGTGGGTTTGATCCAACTTTGAATTCAATTACACATTTGAAATTTGCCAAAATTTTGAAATTCTTTCTTCTTTTTAGCAAAATAAATGAATTTATTTGTTGACTTTTAAAAGCCTGCTTGAAATACATTACACTCTTCAAATACTTCATCCAACCATAGCCTAGAAGAAGAAATTTAGTTTCAACAAGAAATAGAGGGTGATATTGCTTTCATAAAATCATGCAGAGAAATATTAGTGTTTTCACATTTTAGGTTCTTTTAATTCTTTTTTTGATTCAAAAGAAAGAAGATTATTAATCAAATTTTTATTTTTGATTATTTGATTATTACATTTGGTTATACAATATTTTCGAGTATCAAGAATGTAAGATTATTAGTAATATAAAAATTGGGCTTCAATATCAAATAAATTACATACTAAATCGATACCCAAAAATGTTTTAACCACAAACCCTTTTTGACACCTAAATATGTTCATAGTTAAATTTCTTTGTTTTTCCTTTTTTAAGAAAATAGATTCAAATTTTATTTTGGAGAAGAAATAGTACATCAATCAACTTAATAAAATATTTTGATAATTTTTATTTTTCTTTCTTTGCATACCCTTTTAAATGCACTTTGATAACCAAATATACAACATGCATGAATCCAAATAAATTTGTCTTGCCAAAATATGTGACCCCTGCTAATTTTCCTTCAATAAAGAAAGAAAAAGAAAATTTTAAGAAGGATTAGTGCAAATAAAACTTGGAACTGAATTAAGCTCACTGCCATGCATAATGGACCCAAGAATTATAATTGGTGAGGCAAATTAATAAATATGTACAATATTATGCATAAAGAGGATATAAAAAAATTAATTCAAGTGTAATAAAGATGGACATCTAGCTACGCTCATAATACTTTATTTTATTTAAGTTTTTATTTCTATTGAGTGTATGTTTTAACTTCATTTGAGTTTTTTTAATGAAATATAATAACTAATGATAACTTTTGTATATATTTTTAAAAATTTTTTAATTATTAAAATATGTTAAACAAATTTTAATTATTTAAAATTATTATTTTATTTTTAAAATAATTAATTTTTATTATTTAATTCATTTAATTAGCTTTATTCTTATTTTTTTAAATAATTTGATAAATTTAATTCATAAATAAAATTAGAAATTAAATAAATAAAAATGTGCCAGATAGATAAAATTATATATAGTTTATATATAATAGTTTAGTATGAAAAATATAGTTTAATATTAAAAAGAATACAATTTTAAAAAAAATTATAATCTAATATATAAAAGGACTACGATTTTTATGTTATTCATGATTTACGTCAAAGACTAAGTCTTTTAGGAAGTCTTTCACGTAATTCATGATTTACGTGAAAGACTTCATAAGTCTTGCAATCACTTTGGATCTATTTGGTTGGACGTTAAAATTAGTTTTAATAAAATTAAAAATAGTGATAGATGTAAAATAGATTGTTGTAATAAAAAAAATTAAAATCAATAGTAGAATATGTTCGAATACAAAAATAATGATGATGATGAGATGAATTATAGTAAAAAATTATTTAAAACATTAGATTAAAATTATCTGTAATAAAAGGTTTAAATTATTTAATATTTAAAAAATTATTAAATTATTATTAAATTATTTTATGTCAAATAATGATTTCATTAGTAAATAATTAAAAAATATTTATTAATTTATTATATTATAAAATTTATTTTTATATTAAATTTACAAAATTATTTTCTAATTATAAGTTAAAAAATAAGAAAGAGAAAAAAAATTAAGTGATTAACTTGAAAGAGAAAAATAAATAAATAAATAAAGGGGCAATTGAGGACTAGGACTAAAAATTCCATTGAACGGTAGAAATCACGTCACACCATAAAATTATTTGGATTGCAAAGTTATGGGCGACATAATCTTTTATGGCAACTGCATCAATTATGGAGGTTTGATGGGAGTTTATGTATGTTTATTAAGGACACCCATATGTTCAAAGTTCATTTAGGTTTGATGGGAGTTTATGTATGTTTATTAAGGACACCCATATGTTCAAAGTTCATTTACTTACTTTGGCAAATAAATTCGATGACATATTCTAGTGTTAATACAAGATCATATATTTTAAGTTTTCTCATTTATTAAATAAATAAAAATGAAATATAGTTTTTTCATTTTTCATTGACCAATTGTCTATTTAAAATATTGATTGAAGAATTAAGTCCTAATAAAATACATTTAATTTTTAAATATTATTATATAAATCTTATGAAAATTATAAATGATTTATTCATCGTGTGCATAGGACTGATTTAAAACCAGAATAAAAGTAGAATATGTACCACTCACACCTTACCTGGCCCACCTAGTTAACTGCCTTTCTCCTTTTCCCACCCTAATAAGGAAAAAAATACATAAGAAAGGAAAAGAGAAGAAAAAGTAGAAACATCTAAAATTGACGCCAATGTCAATTGGAGGAAGACTTGAGAAGTCTTTCAAGGAGTGTTTCACGGCATTCATGATTTATGTGGGTTTGCAATGATTTGATCACAACCTAATCAATGCCGACATGCTTTCACCACATTCATGACTTGCGGTCCTGAGTGACTTGTGCGTGTAATTTATTATTGCCATGAACACGGTAGTTTATTAGTCTTTGTGGAAACTAACTGGAAAGGGGCTGAATAAATACCTGACCATCCGTACTAGTCAATTTAATTTATACTTAAATAGTTAACAAAATATATATTCCTTTGAACTATCTAAATCATGGCTTCTTTCTTAATATCATTTCAAGTTCTGTTGTTTTTCATGCTTGTGTAGGTTCGTCATCTTATGTTTATCTAAATGAAATCATATAATATTATTTTTATGAAATCAGAAAATATTATTTTTTATTTAATTAAACCTTATTTTACATAAAAGCTTAAGGAATTTTCAACATTTCACACGCTCAAACTAAAATTTTAATATTTTAAATATAGTAGGTTCATTGTTAGTGTTAATTTACACAATTCCTTTAGTTAGGATTATTACACAAATTTAATATATAATTTCAAGAAAACAAAACTTTTGAACATGAACATTTAGCTAAAAATCACTGACCTAGCTCCAATTCAAAAAAGAAAAAAAAAAAAACAAAAACAAAAACAAAAAATGTTTGATACAAATGGAAAAGAAGCTTTTAATCAAAAGTTTCCAGACAACAATGTTACTATCTAACAATATTGTAAAACTAAAACTCAAAAAAAATTCCCTAATCTCTCTTTCTTTTTATGTTAATTTCTGATTAAATTCTCCCTCTACTATATTTAAGCGATTTGCTTTTATATAACCCATTGACATTGCATATATAAGAAGTAATTTATTTTTAAAGATTTAACTTATTTTAATTTTATTTATTAATGAAGTGCCAAATATTTAACTACATATATACTAGATTGCTTAAACATTTGAATACAAAGGAGAGAGAAGGAGATTGAGAAAGCAAATTTTACTTGTACCAACAATTATTATCTAAATTGTTAGCACCTAATTAACCACAAACTCCATGACGAACAGTTCTACCAATTTGATGATCGTGAAAAGATTGGGAAATGGAAACTATTGATTGGTAAGGGCTTGAGCAACTTATCGCGTGGTTGGCTGAAGTTGGGGATTGTCATTCAAGCATGCAAATGTGACCTTTGTAGTAAAGATTACATCCTTTGCTATTTGGTTTTCTGGTGGTGAGAGATGCTGGCGTATCACATATTTAAGTAAAATCTGTAGGTTATTAGGTACCAATGCTAATGTCGATACCAAAGTCGATGATGATAAATATGATAGAAGATCACCAGGATGTCTTGCTATAAGAACTTCCGTTGTTAGAATCCCAAAACTATACACATAGTATTTCTAATCTACCTTCATTGCATAAGTGAACTTTGCTTAAAGAAATATATCTAATCAATGTGCTCTATTAAGCAACAAATATATCTAACCAATACACTATTATATAAGAATATTGAGAAAATTATAAAATACACGTTGAAAAGAAATTGGGAATGTTTAGAAGATAACTTGAAAATTGAAATTCAAAGGTTCAAATAAAATTTTACATTTAGTTCATCAGTTTGATATATTGAATATTGAAAAATTAAATGTTAAACTTTAAAAATTAATTACACATTTGATACTTGAATTATAGTCAAATTCTTAATTTGATACTTAAATTTTGAAAGGTTACAATCATGATACTACTTGAACTTTGTTTTAACGCATCAATTTGCACACAAAACTAACTCTTTTAATTCATTGATTACATGTTTAATGCATCTTAAAAAAAGAGATCAATAAAAACCTAGAGCTATGTACCCGAAAATGCCAACAAGTGAGGTCCAATTGGAAGTGTCAGGCTTTAAAAGCTTAGCTGTGCCAAAATTTGAGACATGAGTCTCATAGTCCAAATCCAGAAGAACATTATTGCTTTAAGTGTCTCAATTAATTATAGGTGGTGAATGGTCATGATGCATATAAGTCAAGGCATTGGCTACTCCTTTTACAACATTTAGCCTCTTCTCCCAATCCAACTCCATTGCCTCGTCCTTATTCCTTAACACCATTTTCAAACTTCCCCTTTCTACAATCTCATAAACCAAAAAATGAGTTCTTTGGATGTGAACAAAAGCCATACAGCTTCACAATGTTACGATGCCTTATTTCTGATAAACCATGAATATCGCTTTCAAGGGCTTTCAATTTGTTGGGAATCATGTTATTTTCAGATTGGTGAAGTTTCTTCACCGCAACCACCTCACCAATGGGTAGCACAGCTTTATAAGCAGCTCCATAGCCTCCTGAATGCAATTGCTGGAACTGAAATCTTCCTTGCCTTCAATAATGTTCTCATACAGTATTCTTCCATTATATCCCCACAATGTGAAAAATCTCCAAGTTGTGCCTCCATTGACTTAGATTTTCTAGTTCGATTCTTTTGGCAAAGAATAAGGAAACTTCCAGCCATGATACAGAGTAAAAGAAGAAGACCAAAGAGAAAAAGCACAATGAAAATGATGACCTTGGTGCTTTTTCTATGACCAACGCTGTTGCTAACAGCAGTGACGACACAATGCATTAGTCCAGTGGCATTAACACATTGGTCCTTATTGTTTCTTAAGGCATCAAATGAAGCCTCATAAAATGCCTTAATGTTGGGAATAGGACCTTCTAATTGATTGCAAGAGATATTCACAACAGTCAAGCTTTGCAAATCATTAAAAGAATTTGGGATGGAACCATTAAGCATATTGTGAGAAAGGTCTAATACTTCCAACGAAAGTAATTTTGCAAGCTGTTGTGGTATCTCCCCAATAAGTAAATTCTGACTTAAAATCTAGATTTTCAAGACCATATATGTAGCTTATTGAAATTGGAATGTTTTCTCCAAGTCTATTCTTGCCCAAATTCAGGTTCAACAAGTTAGAGCATTTTCCAAGTTGATTAGGAATTGATCCACTTAAATTGTTTGTTGCCAAGTTAAGATGTCGTAGGTTTGAAAGAACTCCAATCTCTGATGGAATTTTGCCTGAAAGTTGGTTACCACTTAGCAAAAGATTGAACATCAATGTCAATGCTCCCAATTTCCTGGGAATCTCACCCATGAGATGATTTTAAGAGACATAGAGTTCTTGTAATTGAGGTTGCATGTTTCAGCTCAGGTGGTATCTTTCCAGAAATGTTATTATTGGAGATTCATAGGCTTGTTAGACAATGGCATTTCCCCCAGTTTGGCGAAAGTCCACCATAAAATTTGTTGTTGCTTAATGCAATATAATTCAAATTAGGATATATACCAAAAGCTTCTGATATATTTCCTATCAACTGCTTTCATTCAAGCCTAACTCTGTAAAAGCTTTTGCAGTTTCTTAAACTTGATGGGATCAGACCTGTCAAATTGTTGTTGATAGCCCCAAGATATATGAGTTGTCCACCGAGGCATACATTCTCGGGTAGTGGACCACCGAGATGGTTACTCGACATTTGGAATGATTCCAAATGAGTAAGATTGCTGAACGAAGGAATTGGCCCTGATAAATGATTATATAGAAGACTTAACCCCACAAGCTTCGTCATATTTCCAATTGAAGCAGGGATTGAACCAGAAAACATATTTTGATCAAGGTAGAGAGTAGATAAGCTGGTCACGTTTCCTATGGAAGCAGGGATTGAACCAGAGAAATTGTTATCAAAGAAAATAAGTTTTGTAAGAGATACAAGCATCCCTATCTCTTGAGGTATTGACCCAGAAAGCTTATTTTCAAAAAGGTAAAGAGTAGACAATTTGATTAAGTTTCCTATGGAAGCAAGGATGACACCAGTAAGATTATTACTTAACAACTGCATTGTGATAAGAGATCCGAACCAAAGAGGTTATTACCATACAGATAAAGCCATACCAAGTTACTTAGGTTTCCCATAGATGCTAGGATAGGACCAGTTGGTTGGTTTATTGAAAGATCAAGCATATTGGGTGACTTCATCATTCCAACTTCTCTCGGTGTGGCACCATTGAGACTATTGTCAACTAGGACATGTTGGGACAAATTATGCAAGCTTCCAATAGAAATAGGTATTGGACCGGTGAGATTGTTTGCATCAAAGAGAAATAGAGAAAGTAAACTCAACCTTCCGATTTTAGGTGGAATACTTCCAGAGAAATTATTCTGTGACAAGCCAAGCTCGGTGAGCTTGGAAAGGTTGCAAACCTCTCCAGGAATAGAACCACGTAGATGGTTATAAGAGAAAAAGATGCAGGAAACTGAACTCAACCTCCCTATTTCTTGTAGAATGTGTAGACACTAAATTTGTCTGAATTTTTAATTAAGTCTTGGTCTAAAATTTATTGGGTATATTAGGTTCTCGAGCCTAGGCTCGATTTTAATTCAACCAAGCCTGAGGTTTCATTTTGATCAGGCTTGAGGCTCAGTTTCGTTCTTTAAGCCCAAAGCCTATTTTTATTTTATTTTATTTATTTACTTTTTTTATCTTAATATTAATTAATACAAAAAACACAAAAAAAAAAACAAAACAAAGAAAAGAAACAAAAGAATACATGAAAAGGAAAAAAACAAAAGGGGTATAGGGTGTTTGGTGCCATGCATTTAAATGATAATCAAGGCATGGCTATGTTTGCTCTAGCATTATATGGCACGGTAATCTTTCTGAAGACTTTGGGTTACATTGTGATAATTGTGGTGGATTTCTTCAAGCAAATTGAAACCTAAACAATTAATCCTGCACCAACAGTCTTAGTAGAAACCATTTGGTTATTGAATTTCTATCGACGGAATGGGATGGGACGATTCATAGGATGTGCACCGCTATTGTATGTGTGGGTCAAAAATCATTTCAAGTGTGGGAAGAGTGCATTTTCAAAATCACAAACTTCGAAACAAAGCACCAATCAAAGAGTTTTGCATAAGTCAATGGCCAACATTGAAGACCAAGGAAGAGTGGGTTCTATTCTTGTGAAGGCTTACTGAGGGTAAAATTGAATGGATGGTGCCTTGGATGTCTCGTGTGCCCTTATTGTATCGTGGAGGAAACGAGCCATGGATACCACTGTTAGGGCAATAGGGTGCTATGAGTTACGTTCCATTAATGGTGTTTAGGCAATTTGGTGCAAAGCAGTTTGTCCCTACCACTCATGGCCTGGTCCAAGTAGAATTCATTTATAAGGAGCCGAATCCATTAAAATCCTCAGAGTAGTTAATCCAAGCATGGAAGAAAATGCAAATAATGAGATTAGAGCCTTTCATTGACAAAGTTACCCCTGATTATCAAATTTAGAAAGGAAAGTGGCTTAGAGACATAGTATTCTTTCCTGATGACAGCTCACATCAATAACCTAATCTTTTGACAGAAGTGCAATTATCAGAAGTTGAGCTTGTTAGGAAAGAATTAGAAGCTGAAAAAGAAAGAATAAGTAAAAAAATTTTGAGATTTTGTGAGAAAGTGGGACAGTTGAAATATAGAGTAGAGATACAAGGGAGCAAATTAGAGAAAGTCATAAAAAAAAAGGTGTGGCCAATAATGATTTGAAAGATTTGCACCAAGAAAATAAGAGATTATGAGTCTAATTCAAAACCAGAAAAAGGCACAAGTCTTACCTTAGTCAGCAATGTAAAATGGATGAGCTTCGAAAGTAAACGAACCAATAGAAAGGCAAAGCTCAAGAAAAGCAAGAAGAGGGCACTAGAATTTCTCAAGAATGCCAGAATTGGAAGGAGTTATATACTACAACTTCAGCAAGATTGGTGGAATGTCAAAAAAAAAAGGAAAAGTTAAAGGCTATGCTTGTAAAAGAGAGAAAAAAGTACCTTGAGGTACTAAATGAAAAAAATCACTTCACCAAGTGATCCAAGGCTTAGAACTACAACTGTAAGACCATAAGAACCATATTTCAACAATAATAGATAAGTGGCATAGAAGGGAAAAAGATTGGATTTTCACATGTGATTTGGAAAGAGATGCTCACAAAAGATGGAGAATAGAAACCTTAGGGAGGCAACAATACATGGAGCACTTGACTAATCAAGTTTGCAAGGTAGTGAAGAAAGCATGAAAGATGGTTGAAAAGGTAGAGGAGTTAATGAAAATTTCTGGTGCTAAAATTTGTCCAAGAGCAAATATCTCACACTTGTATTCATACATCATGTGCATCATTTTTGTTTGCGTTAAAAAAATCACAATACAAAAAAATAAAAAAATTAAAATTTTCAACACATAGCATTTTGATTTTTGAAAATTTATGGTAATAAAGTTCAAGAATAGCTCACCCACCAAAAATTTTGATTCAACCTACTCACAATTCATACAACACCAGAGCTCAAATAAGAATCATGGAACAAGAACAGGCCAATCAATTTGAAAGGATTGAAAAGGCTCAAAAAGGACTAAAAAAGGATTTTAATAAGATAATAGACATGTTCAAGAATCTTGACAAAGGAAAAGTGATGGAGGGAAATCCTAGCCTTCAAGAGTAATCGCAGACATGGTAGATCTTATATACCTTTCATGATTTGAGCTACAACCAACCCAACCCTCGTAAAGAGTTTGAATTCAAATTCTTACTCTTAGAGGAGACATTTATTCTTATCTAGGAATGACATTCACACCTGTTCTAGGATAATTTCAGAATTTGGCTAATCCTATCATGGTAGAAAAACCATCCGAGCTAATCTTGATTCCAGACTTGGATGCTCCTAAAGAGAGAGAAAAGCTAAAGATGAAGACATCTAATAAAGTAGAAGATACCAAGGTTTAGCAAAAAATAAAATTATTAGAAGAAAGACTTATGGCAGTAGAGAGAATGGATTTTTATGGCTCCATGGATGTAGCCAAGCTTTGTTTGGTCCTAAACGTGGTCATTCCACCTAAATTCGAGGTCCCTGAATTTGAAAAATATAATGGCATAAAGTGCCCAATGACCAATATTACCATGTATTGTCAAAAAATGGTAGCACATGCGTATGATGAAAAGCTACTAATACATGTATTTTAGGATAACCTTATGGGTTTTGCAACTAGATAGTATGTTCAACTAGATAGAACTCGTATTCATTCCTGAAAGGATCTCACAAAAGCATTATTTATACAATACCGACATGTCATAGATCTAGCTCTAGATCACTTATCTCTTTAAAGCATGGAAAAGAAGGCAATGAAAACTTTTAAAGAGTATGCACAGAGATGAAGAGATGTGGTTACAAAAGTTTAACCTCCTATTACTAAGAAAGAGACAACTGTCTTGTTTGTGAACACTCTGAAAACACCATATTATGATAGATTGATAGGCAATGCAACCAAAAACTTTACAGATATGGTGATATCAGGTGAAATGATTGAAAATACCATAAAGAATAGCAAGCTCAATGCATGAGAGACAAGTGAAACCAAAAAAAGTGAAGCTCTCAAAAAGAAAAAAAATGAAGCCCAAGCAAAGAACTATGTGGGGCAACAGTTCAAAGGCTCAATGTCATATCCTACATCGGTCTACCAAACCTATTACCTTACCATAAACAATGTTGCATCCATCCCTTATCCTTATTAGCCATACCAGCCACTACAATAACTAGCTTATCCACCTTAGTTTCAGCGATTCTTTCAAACATCTTCTTATTCTTACAATTGTTCTACTGCACCTACAAGACCGTAATAGAAACCAAATCCAAGTAGTGGTTTGAAAGCTCCAAGAAATACCCAAGAAAAACCCATTTTTGACCCTATTCCCATGACATATACAAATTTATGCCCTCAGCTTGTCGAAGAACATTTACTAGCCCTTATTATTGTTATGCCTTTGAATCCTTCATTTCCCAAAAGGTATGACTCTAATGCTTATTGTTGTTATCATTATAGAAACCCAAGCCATTATATTGCAAATTGTATTGCTTTAAAACGTAAAGTGCAAGGGTTAATTAATGAAAGAGTGTTAAACTTTGATACCAGCCAATGAAGGACTCCAAATGTTAATGAAAATGCTGTACTGAATCATACTAGACCTTTAATAAATACTTTCATTGAAGGACAAGCAAGCTACATGAAGAGAAGGATAAAAAAAGTCAAAACTTCGATGGCTAAGGTGTTTGAAGCCTTAGTCAAAGCTAACATGTTGAAACCAATAGAGCCTTAGAATTGCTCCGAAATGATAAATTCAATCGAGAAATGCAACTATCATAAAGATGTTTTAGGGCATTCTATCGAGAATTACGATCAATTCCATCAAGAGGTTTAGAAGATGATGGATATGGGTCAGGTAGAGTTTTACGAAGAAGGAGAAGACTTGATAAAAGTTGAAGTGTCCACCATTGATTCAAAGAATAAATTTATGCACAGACCAATAACTATTTACTATGATGAAAAGCTAAGCCTGTGGCCAAAAAATTCCATCTCCTGACCAGTAGTGACAATTAAAGTTCTTGATCTTTTTTCATACCAGAATGATAAAGTAGTATTATGAAAGTATGATTGTGATATCATAGTCAATTCATATACTGTAAACATAATGGGCGAAAAAGGTATAACCTGAAGTAAGAGGTGTGATACTCCAAAAGCTCTAGAGAAAGCTAGAAAAAAGAAAGCAAATGTGGGAGAAGAAGAGGAAAGTCAGATTAATCATGTTGCAACTTCAGATAAAGAATGTCAAAAATCAGTATTTGAGAGTAAAGCTTGTGAATTTTGAAAGCTAATAAAACATAGCGAGTATAGTATGGTAGAATAGTTAAACAAGATGTTATCGAGAATTTCACTATTGTCATTATTGTTTAGCTCAAAGTTACACCATAATGCTTTACTGAAAGTACTAAATCAAGTATATGTGTCCCATAATGTCTTTGTTGAATACGTAGAACCGCTTGTTGGCAATCTGACAATTTCAAACTATATCCTTTCAGTGATGAAAAAAATCCTCTTGAGGTCAAAAAAGTACCAAGGCTCTCCACATTATCGTAAAATATAAAAGTCATATAATAGCTAAGGTTTTAATCAATAATGGCTCATCCATCAATGTTATGCTTATGATTACTTTGGCAAAACTATTTATTGATGGATCTTATATGAAGCCTAGTTATATGGTAGTTAGAGCCTTTAATAGAACTCAAAGAGAGGTGTTTAGAGATATAAAAATGTCATTGTAGATTGGCCCATACACTTTTAACGTAAAATGTCATTGTATGTTTCTCCATCATACAGTTGTTTGTTAGGTAGGTTGTGATTCATACAGTAGGTGTTATTCCATTCTCATTACATCAAAAGTCAAATTCATTATTGAAA